AACAACTTTGGATTTGGCATTTAGAAAGTCAGTGATCACTCTGGTAGAGTAGTTTCAGCCAAGTGATAAATGGAAATCAAATTGCAAAAGGCTAAGGCACAAAAGAGTGATATGAAAGAAGAGAAACAAGTGTAAATTTTCAAAATGTTTGTGAAAGGATAGTAACTCCAGGCAAGTGGATCTCAGACTTATATTAGAATCACCTAACGGTTCTGTTATAATGCAGATTGCTGGGCCTAATCCCCCAAGTTTCTGATTCAGTGATCTTGGGTAAGGCCAAACAGTTTGCATTTCCATCAAGTGCCCAGGTAATGCTAATGCTCCTGGTCCAGGGACCACACTCTGAGAACTACTGCTTAGGGTTGAGGAAAGTTTTTGTTTGTCTTGAGGATTCATAGATTTGAACATTTTTATAATAAAATGGGAACAAACAAGTAGAAAGGGAGAGACTGGAGATACAATAGAGAGAGGCGGGAATAAAATTGACAGATTTGTGACCTGGAGGAGCTCAAAGTGATGAAGAACATCAGTGAAGGCAATGGAGGATGCTTTTTATTTTCTGAGGGATGAAGGAAGTAGGAGAAAATAAGAGAGAAGATGGAAAAAACTTTTAGGAGGAGAGAAGGGAGGTCGGGGAAACTCCTGTTGAAGAACAGGAGTTTGTTGTAAAATTATGGAAAAGTGGGAGGCAGTAGCTGATGATAGTAAGGGGGAGGTGGATTGCAAAGAGTAGAAAAAGGTTGGAGTAGCTGCTGCAGGGAATTCAATAGGGAGTCAACAAAATGAAGAAGCGATACTAAGTAGCAGTGGGAGTCCAGCTGAAGTTAGAATGGCTTGAATTTGAGCTGTTAAAAAGCCTAAAATTTAAATGAGAACAATACATTGAGAAAGACATAGATGGAATTTAAAATTACATATCTCCTTCTCCCCTAGAGCAGTGTAGTATAGGGAATCATATGATCATATGTTAAAAGTTGTGAAGTGCTTATAATTTATGAGGTACTTTGAGAATTTATTTTTTATATTTCAATTAGAAAATATCCATCTTTCCTTTAAGTGTCTGATTTTAACTGTTACTTCTTGGGTTTTCACCAACTCTCCTCTCACCCCTATGGTCCCCCTTCTTCACCTTTGCCTCCCTTGGAATTTGTCTTCAATTTTTAACACTGTAACTAAATGAAAAAAAAATTATCTTCTATGTTACATAAGATCATTTTGTAACTAGTTTTATAGTGGGGTATATGTACCTATAGGCCAGCCAGTTAAATTCTCAGTTATATGAATGCTTTTATTTCACATTTATTGCCTTGCCCAATTTCCTTTTATTGTTTGCCTAAAAGTGAACCTTAGAGGTCTCCTGGGAGGTTCTGATTAGAGGCCATATTAGAGGTTATAACCTCAGCTGGCTGAGGGTTTCCAATAATTCTGTTTATTACCTTGGTATTTGCTTGAATGCTCATTCTGAAAACCAGTCCTTGCAAATAGCTCTGGATATTTTTCAGTGTTGTATACACTTCTCTCTCTCTCTCTCTCTCTCTGTCTCTCTCTCTCTATATATATATAGATAATGAAATGGAAGGTACCTGCATTTCATGGACAATGTCAAACAAAGTGGAATATTTTGCCTAAAATCACAAATTAGCACCCTGCCCTCCAAACTGAGCATGAATTAGCAGAAAATGTAAATTACTATTTAAGTCCCAGAATTTTACAGCATTACAGTGTACAAGAGGCTACACTTAGGTCTCAAATCATTCTATTGGATGGCCGGGCAAGGTGGCTCATGCCTGTAATGCTAGCACTCTGGGAGGCCGAGGCGGGCGGATTACTCGAGGTCAGGAGTTCTAAACCAGCCTGAGCAAGAGCAAGACCCCGTCTCTACCATAAATAGAAAGAAATTAATTGGCCAACTAATATATATAGAGAAAAAATTAGCCGGGCATGGTGGCGCATGCCTGTAGTCCCAGCTAGTCAGGAGGCTGAGGCAGCAGGATTGCTTGAGCCCAGGAGTTTGAGGTTGCTGTGAGCTAGGTTGACGCCAGGGCACTCACTCTAGCCTGGGGAACAAAGCGAGACTCTGTCTCAAAAAAAAAAAATCATTCTACTGGAATTAGTGGCATCTAGAACTTCTTGTTCTGATGAGATATGGTATCTGCTTGTACTAATTTTGTTCTTATTTGCTGTGGTGGTTGACTCCTATCTGGTATTAACTCATAAACCTTGAGTATTTTCTTAGTTTTAATGCATTGCCTTTCTCCATAGGAATCATCACCCAAGGGTACTCTGTTTACTGTAGGCTTTATGATTTTTATAATGCTTCATACAATTCCAAACTCACAGGGTGTTGATGTGCAAGGCTTCCTTTGGCCTTGTAGAAACCCAGCCCTATTTAGAAATATGTTTGGCTTATGAAAGATGTTAAAATCATAAAGGGCTAAAAACAAACATTCTGTGTAGAATTTGATTGCCTCAACCTAAAGCATAGATAATAATAATAATAGAAAAAGAAGTAATAGAAATAGAGCCATAAAAAGATCAAGAAAATTCAAGGAGACAACACCTGACCTCTTAGATCTAAATGACTAAATATTTAAATTATAAGTATCACTTAAGAAAATTACCAAGTTTATTTTCTAGAAGACAGCAATGGGAAGGAATTCAAATAATGAAACTAAGGGTCTTTTGTGTATTGAAAGCTCCCAAGGGACTTTAACCCTTCAATGATCAATGGCCAATTTCAGCCTCTAGTATTTCTACTAGAGTTTGAAACTTAATCTCTGGTAATAATTAAAATATTACTATAAACCTGATCACAGTAAATATATGACATTTAATTTATGCCTCATGTAAAGTTGTCAAAATATGTTTGTTTTTCAATATCACAAATAATTACAGCCGGAATGAATGTTCCAATTTTCCTTTTCATATCTCAGAATTTCTTAAATTTGAAACAGCAAAACATCTGTATAACATCCTATTGCTGAAAACCCCAAATCACTCTGCAAATAAAAAGTCCTTGATAATGTTGGTACAGCTATACACAGGCAGCAACTTGGCTTTTGGATTTTTAATGTAATTAGAGCCGTTCAAAATAAAACTTTCCTTTACAACCAAACTTATTCCCCTGGAAATTTTAATCACAATAAGTTATCAGAGGCAAGCTCTTTCAACACATAGTTTAGTAGACATTTCTGTAAAAACATCTGTTGAACACAATTTGGGATTTCTCTTTTTAAAAACTGGTAAATACAAACATTTCTGTCAGCACTGTTCTATTCTTTTTTGAAAACATCTACTTTTTTTGCTGAAGCTTTTTCTGACTCTACCATCTCTTCTCAATTATCCTTTTTTTTGCCCCTTATTATTTTCTTCCTACAGCAGTACCAATGTAGCAAAACCATTTTGATATCTCTTAAAAATGTTTTCTGGCTACATACACTCCAATCTATTATGTTAGAATCACTTATCACTGTATTCCAAAAGCAACTACCGTTTTACAACTTCTTAGCATTTTGACTCCATACAATTCAAAATTGAAACAGTATGAAGGGATTCAAAGGGTAGTTATTAATATTTTGTTGATGAAATGACAAAAGGAGAGAAAATATGTTGTAGAAAGAGGCAGAGAAATCCAACTTAGGACATTTATGACTTATTTCGGGAGAAAAGGAGCCTATCCATTCCTCTTTGATCCTGCTAAGTAGGATCAAAGGGCCGAACAAAATGCAATTAAGTTTCTAAAATTATTTACATTCTGGAAGGATATCAGAGAGGCTGCCTTAGCTATGTAGTTGGTAATATTTTGTAAAGACATGAAGCCTGAATTTCACTTTATGAATAACTACCAGACTGGAGAGGAGCACAGAAGAGGAAATACATTTATTTCAGAGAATCAAAGCCTTAACAAGAGTCTTAAAACAACTTTGCTATGGTGATCTAATAGCCATATGTTGTGTGGAAAAGACCATGCCTTGTCCCTGGAATTTACTCTGCTTAGACATTTTGCTTATTATGAGCTCTTGGTATGTTTGGGGCACTTGACAAGTTGGGGAAGAGGAATCCTGTTTAGTACATGGAGTTCTAATCACTGTATCTTCAAAGCCCATAGGAAAGGAAAGAAAATGGCAATGTTCAAGAGTGCAAACCCTCGCCCTTTCCTCATATTTTGTAATGATTGTTTTGAGCCATAAGAAACCTTTCCTATCAATTTTAATAGGGGAGTAGGATCAGGGCAATACTGAGACTAAGGGATGGGGACACCAGAAGCCAAGTGTATTCCAGGGCAGTAGCAGAAATTCTGTAAAATGAGGCGCCCATCGCCACCCACAAACCAAGTCTCTGTCTGTTTTCCAAAGTGTTCACAGGAGCGGATTAGCAACCAGCAACTCTGATCTGAGTGTGATCTCAGATTCTAGTTCGTCTGTGCGCTGGGTATGGGATAATCTACAACATGTGCGTGTATTGGGTGGGCTGGAGAAGGGCTGAGCTGTTTACTTTTGAACTCACTGAAGTCTTTCTCCTGGAAGCTGGGCAAAGCCACCTATTAGCTCCTGCGAGTTTGGGAGCAATTTGCAAGTGGAATTGGAGCTGCCACCTTCACTTTCCTCGATTGAGCCCGAGTGCAGGGTGGCGGGAGGGGGATGGGAAGGCTTGTTCAGAAGTCCTGCTTTGTGTTCCCAACCCGACACTCGTGGAGTGTGGAGGGGATGTGTTCGTAGCGTAGGCCACTTTGAGAGCTCTGTGTGACAATTGGACTTTCTCTCGTCAGACTGCGAAGCAAGAAGCAGAGGCACCACACCGCCCCCTTTTCGGGCTTGATTTCCATTCACCAGCCCTTAACGGCCTCAGGTAGTCGGAGGCTGGCCAGGGAGTCTCCACCTCCTTGCCGGCAGCAGCCATTCGGTGAGCTTGGGCGCCGAGGGGTTGGGACCCATTGGCTGGGGGACGCTGCCAGTCTCGGGAGGGGGTGTGATGAGGGTGGGGTCTCGGGGCACCGCGAGTCGGTGTTGCTCACTGTTTGCTGGGTGGTGGGTGAGCTTGAGCGGGAGCCCGGCTTTGGGAGACTTGCGAACAGTTCCCAGCGAGCGAGATCGCGCCAGAGAGAGAAGAGCGAGAGTGAGGGAGTGAGTGCGAGGGAACCTAGAGGAGTCAGGGCGAGAAAGTGAGGGCCCGAGGAGGACGCACGATTGAGACAGAGTGACCATGGCTGTCTCCGTACCTCCGGTGATCTCTGCAACTTCCAGCGGTGCGGGAGTCCCAGGGGGCTTATTTCGGGCCGAACTCCCGTACTCGACTCCGGGAGAGCCCCCTCGTCTCACCCCCAATATGATCAACAGTTTCATGGCCAACAACCACAGCTGCAGCGCCGGGGGCGGCGGGGTCGGTAGTGGCAGCGGCAGCAGCGGCAACACCAACACCAACGAGTGCCGGATGGTCGACATGCACGGGGTGAAGGTGGCTTCATTCCTGATGGACGGCCAGGAATTGATCTGCCTGCCGCAAGTCTTTGATCTTTTTCTCAAGCACCTGGTAGGAGGGTTGCACACAGTCTACACCAAGCTGAAGAGACTGGACATATCCCCTGTGGTGTGTACTGTTGAACAGGTTCGGATCCTCCGTGGGCTGGGGGCCATCCAGCCCGGGGTGAACCGCTGCAAACTCATTACCAGGAAAGACTTCGAAACTTTGTTCACAGATTGCACCAATGCCAGGTGAGACACACGCTTCTTGGCTCGCTTCTTACTCCTTCGCCTTCTTCTGCATGTTTCATCACCCTCATCCAACTTTGTAGAGAGTAAGCCTTAACTAGCTTGCCTCTGCTCTTCACGCTGTAAATCGGTGGAGGAAGAAGACTAGAAGGACTCATTAATTGACATTCCCTTCTAGTCCGCGCTCAGTGGTAGGGCTTGGGTGTAAAACAGTCCCGCACAAACTTCAGTTTATAGTCCTCTACTGAAACTTTCCAGCCTTTCGCCCATAATTTGCATGGCATTTTGGCTGCTTGTGGTTATTTGTTAATTTCTCTATTTGGTTTTCTTTCCTGTTCTTTTGTGGCCGTACGGGTCGGTTAGGTTTTCTCCTGAACACGGACACCAAGGGCTTCCTGGGGGGGCTGGCTGAGCTATAAACTGGGCTCCTAAACTGGCAACCCAGAACACAGCATTTGGGGTACTCAGGGGGTCGAAAAATTAGAATCCATCCCAGAGGGTGATTCGGCTCCCGGTCCCGTATGTTTGTTGTGAGAGTGCGTGGGGCGTATAGTGTTAGTGTTGGTGGTGTGTCTGTGCACGCAAAAGTCTGTGTGAGGACGTATGCTCATGCCTGCTGTGCAAAGCTCACCGGTACATGATACAGCAAAGTCAATGGATCCTATTTTTTTTAAAAAAAAAACAACGACAGATGTCACTTTCCTGGGATCGTTCCTTTTGGGTTATCTGCAGAGGGCAATGTGGGGCATGAAACGCTGAGTCTAGGTCTGGGTTGGGGATGATGTAGAAGTTGGTAGATTTTCTAGAGAGGATGCTCTCAGCTCTTCCCCGCCCCCAGGTAAAGAGTTGGAAAGACCCCATGCCTCTAAAGACAGCATTACTTAAATGATGATGGCCAGCTTCCCTGGTTGTAAGTTTACCTCCTCCACATCACTGACATTGGAGAATAAATGTCTATTGCATATGGAAAGCAAATTATGTGCAGTGTTTCTAAGTGAAAAAAAAAGAAACTATATTCAAGATTATTTGACTTTTTAAAGACCTGTGAATTGGTCTTCTTAGTGTGTATTCCACCTCCAGTATGGTAATATCTCAGGAAAGTACACATCTGGCACATGAGATTAGCATACAAACCAAGAAATCACCATTACTAGCTTAAAAGGAGCAAAGGGTTTTGTTGTAAAACAGCACTACTGTTTATCATTCAGCAAAAAACTTCTGCTGAGGCACATTTTCTCACAATGAACTTTAAATCATAAAATATCTGGGTCTATGAATTAAAACTGTAACTCACTTGCTACATCTATTGTAAAATCCAAATTACTATGTATAGTTGAAGTATCATGACAACTTGTAGACAAACTGTTGCTTACTGCTACAAAAAGATAATGTCACCGAACTTACAAGGGAACCTTTTCTTTTTCTTTCTTTTTTTCCCCCCTTGAGCAGTGTTTTTCTGTGTTCAAGCAATTAACAGAAAGCTGTTCATGTGAGAACTCCTACCTGATTCATATTTAGGGCTTACAAAGCTGCTTTATTAGATCAGCGTTTCTTAAGGAAGATAGATAGCCTTAAAACACAAAGGATAACGGCTCCTTCAATAAAATAAGCAATTATAGGTTGTAATTTTGATCACAAAGCATTATACTAATACACAAACTCAAAGGGTTTGTGTATTTTATTTTGATCACAAAGCATTATACTAATACACAAACTCAAAGGGTTACAAGGTATTTCAGATGGGGGCCATCTAATTCATTTGTTGCTATTCAAAAACACTCACATTGAAATAATTGTAGACATGGAAACCTATCCTCTTATTAACTCTCTCTATCTGTTTTTCCCCCATTTCTCCTCCCTCCTCCTTGTCCTCATCTCTATCTTCCTCTCATATCTCTCTTAAAAATGCCCATTCTTAAAGTGGAACAATTATTACACTTAGGAAATTCTTCCTTCTTTAAGAATTCAGTTACACATTCTTGAGCAAAATCTATGATTTTAATTTTTCAAATAAATAGATTAGTATTTTAATGTGATTTTGATGCTTTCCCCTGTAAATAGAAACTTTTCTTTAATTGCTATTTTCTAAAGATACAAATGATAAATTACTCTTGTTTCCAGAAGCAGGGGTGGTCTTATACTAATTTTGGACCATGTTATACCATGTATTTTTAGGTTATTATTTTAATTTAATTAAGTTTTATTTACTCCTTATCACAATGATAACTTTTTTTTTGTTTGAATTGATTGTGTGTTTGTGTATAGAGGTGATAAAGAAATATTAAATATATAGGAAGAAATATATTTGTGATATGATGTATGTGACTTCTATTGCATTTTATTTTCTTTATGGGTATGTTATTTATTACATGTATTTGATATAATTGTGTTAAAAGTATTGAATACATAATCATAAAAATTCATGAAATATATTTTATGAATGCAACTCATGAATGAAGATGAACAAAACTACTAGAAACACACATACACACACTGTAATTTTTAGATAGGAAAAACACATATTTTCTGAAAAAAATATAATTAATGGTAAAACAAATTACCAAATATTACTGATGTGAAATGCCCTCATAATCATATTGATAAAAATTACCAAATATTATCCCTTTAATAGATTCTATATGACTTTAGGTAATATTATCTACAGAAATGTGTACTTTGAATCATTAAAAAATCTGAATTTTTATAAAATCATGAAATTAGTGTTTAGATCAACATTATTTCTATGACATTCTATTCAGTGGAGAGAAAGGTGAGAGATGTAAATAGACAGGAAGTCCAAGAGAGACAAAATAAGGTAGATGAGACACGAGGCCAGTAAGAGGGAAGAAATGTAGAAAAATAGCAGAATGACATGGTGAAAGGAAGTGAAAGGTGAAGCAGAAGAGCTTATAGAGATGTCCCAAGAAGATAAGTGATGTACCAATGGAGACCTAGCTAAAGGGGATTGTCCTTCAGGATTCAGGGCTGCTTCTTGCTTCTAGCTAAATGGGGAAGGGAAGTGCAAGGAAAAAGTATATGTTCAGTGAGTGGAAACTTTCACATACTATTCTTATTTTGAAGAAGAGATTCATCTTCATTTCTTTATGGATAAATTTCCATAATATATTGTTGACTGGAAGGCCTATTAGTAATGGTATCATTGGCAATTTTCTTGCATAATAAACATTTCTCCACCTCTCTGTCAAATATGTGGGGAATAGTACTCCTGACTTAGCGTATTTTAATTTGGAATGTTTCCTATGTTATCCCAAAATACACAAATAGACCATTTTCAAATGGGTTATTTACAAAGACTTTGACATTATTGCCACTAAGTGACATTTTGATTCAGTTCAGTGCACATTTTTATTAATGTGTACTGAAGAAAAATGAATGATATATATATATATATATATATATATATATATGATTGTTTCTTTGATAGGAAAAGAACAGGAACTCTACTAATGCTTTATATTAAACATTTTGTTGTTAGCCAGTTATCAAAATATTCAAAGTTGTCTTCACAGAAAAGAAGTTGGGAAATAATATTTACCTTCAACTACTAGAGAACAATATGACTAAAACTCTTGACCATTCGTTGTTCTATTAGACAAGTCAAGCTTTACATCACTTCATTTTCAAAGGAATGTACAATATTTTTCCTTCATGCCCTTTAACTTTAGAAATTAATTATAGGGGTATTATTTTGAGGATTATTAAGAAAATGATGATAAAAAGACCCAAAGACAAATGGGAAAATTATGTTGTTTTAGATTTTTGTTTTTGCAGATAAAGCGCTGTTTTTTTAATTTCATTTCTTGTATAAGAAAACTTGGAGTTTTTAATACCAGAGAGAGCAGGCAGATTCAAAAACTAAATGTCTAAAATTTTTACCCTTATGCAATGGATTTTCCTTACTGAATTCTCCAAAATTTAATGTAGCATTAAAATATTAAATTAAAACTTGGTTTCACTAATTATGAAAATCAATCTACACATTTTAGTGTTATCTCTTTACATTTATCTATCTCTATGAAAGGAACATCATATTTCATGATCAGCATCTAATTTTGTTTGATGACTAAGTGATTAAATGTTATTCAGTCATTAAAATATAGTTAAATAGATGCTTGAAGAAACAAGAATGTATGATTAAGAAAAGAATTTAATAATGTATTTGGAGACATGATTCAAAATATATTGAAAAGAATAAAATTCAGCTTTTAAATTAAAATTTGAAATGGTCTAATTGTAGTTTATTGTCATTTTGATAGTATGTAAATAGAACATAAATGTGGTTTGATATTAGAATAACTTCATGTGGATTATGACTTTTACAACATTTTAAAATACTTTCAAATACTGGAAATATGATTATTGTAAGCACTCAATGAGTTTAGGTTTGTATTCACACTTGATGAATGCATTATAGTTCATGATCCACAGAGTAACATAATTCACTTTGAAAATTGATGTTTGGCATTTACAGTCAATTTATGCAACATAAGATTTTTGGAGAACTTGAATGACTTTCCTGGGCTAATATTTTGTATGGTTTACATATTCAGAAATGATAGAAAGGTTTTAGAAATGAATCTAGGTAGTAAATGCAAACATTTTATTTCATAGAATTATTAGGAAATAGTCGTATTGTCTGTTAAAAGTGGTTATGTAGTCAAAATGCTCTTTTTCAGAGGAATGGTATCACAATTATAATTAAAGCAATCCAGCCGTATGCCAATGCACAGAACTTCCATGTGTATGTTCATTTGCATTGTATACTTCTGAATAACCAAATGTTTTTGTATTTATCTACAATATTTTACCTGGTATTCATATTTGACTCAAACACTCATTTATTAGATGATGGATGCTACATTATAGAAATGATCCATGACATTATAGAGTACATCTTGGGATTTTTATGTATATTATCCCCAATGTATAGCATCTGAATGCCAATAAAATACTAGGACATGATGGACTTAAAACATTAATGT